TAAAAATGTAAGGAGTAGAAGCAAAAAGTCGCCATAAAAATAAGTAGTAAAGTAAAGTAAAAATATCAGAAAAATCTACTTGAGTACATCTCTGCTGACATGGCTTATGGTAAACTGCAAGCTTTACATTTCTTTCTCTGAAAAAAATATTCCCTCTTGCTGCTTTTCCAAAAATAAAATCAAATAAAACCCTGTTTAGTGAAAAATAAAAGTGGGCCTAACAACAGATTCTCCCACCTGAGCTGTTGATCTCTGTATCTCCTCCAACGATAATGAGTAACCCTGCTGCCTTTCCAAATAATGCTCTCCTTGCCTTCCACTTAAGGTGGACTGCCATGTCCTTGGAACTTCGCAGCTTTGCTGAATCCTATTAGCTTTACGGCTCTGCAGCTGTTAAAAACCTGCCAGATGTTTTGTTACACTTTCCTTCTGCTTTCACTCTATGTGCTCTTTTTGTTTTCTATCAGATAAAATCCCAACAACATCACACAGCAAGGTCTGTAGAAAGAGAGTGTGACTAAAGGTTTTTATTTGGGGGGTAAATGTTTTTTTTACATGTTCCCTCTAATTACTCGTTGAGCGACGTTGTCTCTTCCTATTTGGTGAAAGCCGTATAGAGCAAACCGGAGTTAATAACAAACACGCTGACATGGATCGGAGGCGCCCTTTCTAACGAGGACTAATAGCCTGGTGTAAATTCAAGCCGACTCCTTTGTCATGAAAAAATAAATAAACTGAATTGCTCCTATTAAATCTTCATTAACAACTAAGTGGCACACAATCAACTATTGATAGATACAGATTGCGGTGGCTTGCAGTGGGAGACACACTGAATTGCTAATACTTCATTCACCATAATAAGTTGCGGCGTTGAACGCGGCCGGTTGGTTCTCCCGCAGTGGCTGCAATAACAGCGTGCAGCTCAACATAATGACAAAAGAGGCTGACCTTCAATCTGATAATAGCGGATCTCTCCTCTCTGAAATGAGCTGAGGGAGCCGCCTGCATCAAGTGGTTTTTATCTCTTTTGTTCAGCATGTTTCCAGCTGTTTCAGCATGGAGGGGCGTTGCACAGGACCCCTGCTACTCAGGGTTTTAAGGCTGTTTGTTGATCAATCTATGTACTGTATGAATGGAGCTCCATCACAATAGGTGCCATTTTACAGTCATATCCACTTGCATGGGGGGATTTGTGGAAATGTGGCTGAAGACAGTTTTAATCAGAAATAAAACTCTTCTCCTGAAAATGAGGCAACGATTCAAACAGCTTTAAAGGTCAAAGAGAGATGCATCAATACCTCCACCAAGCCTTGCAGAATCCTTAAACAAATGACACATCCGTAGTGCGTACGAGCGGCGGAGGGAATGAACATATTCAGGATGGATGTCAGCACAATGGCAGCACCAAATACCCTGTAACATAAAAAGACAAACATGTGATTGGTTAAAATCCATCCACACATTTTCTTCTGCTTTATCTGGGGCCGGGTCCTGGAGGCAGCAGTCTGAGCAGAGATGCCCAGACTTCCTCCAGCTGCTCTGGGGGGGGGCCCAGGGCGACACCAGGCCAGCTCAGAGACATGGTCCCTCCAGCTCCTCCCGGGTAACTGAGCTCCTCACCCGATCTGTAGGGGGGGCCCAGCCACCCTGAAAATAGGGTTAGGAATTGATAAGATTTTCACGATTCCGATCCCCTTATCGATTCTGTGAA